AAGGCCCTATCTACAAAAATATTTAAATATATAAGGTAAAAAGTCCAATTTATTTATTTTTATATACGCCATTGTCAACTATCATAACAATTGATAGGTTTCACTATTAAACAATTTTTTTATTACTACAAATAAATCGCGTTGATAGAAACAAACTTTTCAATTTAAATAGTTTTTTGCTTCTCCTGTAAAATTTTAAAAATGTTAGATAGGGCCGTTTGCGTTGTAGGTGACGATATGTACTTATGAGGGTTTCGTCAAATTTTATTTGGTTAAACAAAGAGGGATGTTGGCCGTACATTCCGTACCGAAATAATTTTTTGTTTGGAAAGGAAAAAGAATATTAATTTATTTCGATAAAATATGTATTTTTTATTACGTGTGGCACATAAATGTGCAAGTCGGACTAAATTATTTTGAATGCAATGTTTTTTCAGCAAAATACAGAACATGAGAAAATAAAATACACTAACCACCATTTTCTAAACCAGGTTATTTTTAACCGTTAAAATTTGAATTGTCAATAAAGTTTTAAACATTATTATATTGATTGTTAGAAAAATAAAAATTTATTAATTAATAAAGTTCAAAAAGAAAGCAAATACCATATCGTTAGCTTAGTACGCAAACGTAACAAGTCCTCTTTTGTACATTTTATAGGAGAAGCAAAAAACTTCATAACTTTTCCTTTATTTCATATTTTTAAAATCTGTAAACGCAGTTTTTTTCTTAGATTTCTCCTTTTTTAATATCAGTTGTGAAACAATTTAAAAATAATGATGTTGAATACTTATGGCGTTTTTTTAGGACTTAGCACCTTTTCTATTTCTGAATTTTTATTTTTTGCTGGACATATCACATTTTCTTATAACTTTTTCCTTATGTACAGGTTCTATTTCGCAGATAATTTGATACAAATGTTTTGCTGTGTCTTTCGGACGAAGTGTATAAAATTTAATAAGTGTAGATTCACGATTTCTCATGATCCCCATACAAGTGGCTCCTCGGAAAAGATATTAAACAGAAATAAATATGATGAGTAGCTAGTAATCCTGATCAAATTTGGACCCAGTTATTTTTTGGTATTCAAAAAATATATAGTAAAGAATGGGGGACATCGGGCTTTATTTGATCCTAGCCCCCATATAAGATCCCCTTCAGCAAATTATTTTAATGCTCTTAAATGCATTAAACATACATATCAGTAAAGCTTTGAAATTCTATATAGACAAAACTTTAATGAACATAAATCGCTACACTAATTTTTATAAGTATCGGTCCATATTTGACCATCGCTCCCATATAAAGTACCCTTGAAAAAAATACTCTAACGCTTATAACTGTATTTAAAATAGCAGAATAGTGATGAAATCTGACATAAACAAGATTTATGGGACCACAAAAACGATTTACCACATTTTATGAGGATAGGGCAATGTTTTACCAAACGCCCATTGACTTTAAAGCGCACAACTGGCTTAAAATAACAATATGCTATTCAACTTTAACAAGTTTTAAATGAACCAAATTTCTTTACTAACTACTATGAGATTCGGTCCATAATTTACACTATTCACAATATCATCCCTCTTAAGTAAAATCAGTTTTTTGTCAATATTTACTTGTTTTATTTTATTTTAAAAAAGTATTCCATGATTTCGAACTCAATCGAAGATTTTACAAACTATAACTATTTTATAGACGTTGATGTACAAAATGTTTGATATTTTTTTACATGACTAATGAATGCCTTTATAATAGCAAATTGAAAGGACTTAGCACTTTTTCTTTGTATATTTTTATTGTTTTGAGGACTTAGCACGTTTGCATACCACAGCAAAAATACATGTTTAAAGTAAAAATAAGGTAATTTCTTGATTGTAACATGTGATTTTTTCTTTCGAATCGAGTTACAGAGTAATTCCCCAGTATATAATTGGGTCTTTAATAAAAACCAGCATAGACATTTTTTCAAAACTAAAAAAATCTTCCAAAATAAAAATTGTAATGCCTTCTTTGGAAAAAAATAAAAAATCAATTTTTTCATATAAATGCGTTTAAAAAATTTAATGATATTTTACATAACTCTATTTGAAGTTAAGACACAACCTAATTTCAATATTAAAAGTTTAACCGACCGAAATATATATTTTCGACCAACTCTATTGAATATAATATATTCTTTGAAATCTTTTTTGTTTGCAGAGTTCGCGATACCCATCAAATAGCTGAAGCTCAACAAGAAAAAAACGCAAAATTACGTGAAGCCTTTAATATATCTGAATATTTTGTTGAGGGCTCTAGCTTTGATTCCGATCGTAAAGCAAAAGAAGATTTAGCCAAAAGCTTGGCTTTACAAAAAGAGCTGGACGCTCAACGTGAACAAGCCGCCGCTGCGGCGGCAAATGAAAGAGAATCATCTAAGCGTTATGCATTAGTGCGTACACCGTCCATTGAAAGAGATATTTCTTCAGGTGGCGTTGGTGGTGGTGATAATGATGATCATATAAATAAAAAGAAAAAAAAGAAAAGAATGCGTGAGAGGTAAGTTTTTAATAAATGAACATTTACATCCTAATACTATAAATTAATTTTGATTTTGATTTACTTTTCAGTTCTGCAAGTCCAGAACGAAGAAAAGATAAAAAGAAGAAGTCGAAGAAACGGAAAAAAGAAAGGTAAGCCTTAAGCAAATTATTGACACGTAGCATCTCGTAAATCTTAGGTTTTCTAGGTCACATTAAAAATTAGTTTTTCTGTTTTCATATTTTTCGTTGTTTTTTGATACAAAAGAAAATAAACCTAGCATTATAATTTCTGTATTTATTTATGTAGTTTTTAGTTTTTAATTATCCTTATTTAATCATTTTATTTAAAATTTTTGTTAAAATAACTTTAACTTTTTGATGACAAAAAATTGTTAAATGAATTCTTTCTTCTTTATCAATTGCTTCATATTTTTATTCTCTACTTTCTCTGCATTTTTTTCAATTTACGAAACAAAATCTAATCAAATATATCAAACTTAAATCAACAAAACAGGAATTCTTACGAAAAAGAAATTAAAAAGAAGAGAAAAGATTAACTAATTTATTTATTTGTATTTTTTACAAATTGAAAAGTATCATAAGTTATTTTTACATTTACAATAATTTATTATTAAATAAATATCGAAAAAATAAAAAGACACGTACAAAGTATATAAAAACGACGTCTTACGAGAATAAACTTTATAAATCAACCAAGTTGTAACTATAATATAATGATAAAACATTAAAAAAATATAAATATAAAAACGTCATTAATACTCTCTATATATTTCTCCCCAAAAATATTTATTAATTCATTATATCTTTATTATCTTATTATATACATTAAAAATTTATTATACATACAAATATTTTTTACAATGTTTAAAATTTTTAAATACGAAAATCCTTGGCTTAAACCATTTTAAACATTAAAAAAATGGGTAAGTATTCAACTTTATTTGCAAATCCATTTTTATACTTTAATTTCATACTACACATACATATATTTAGTTTCCAAACACATATTTTAGATATATTTTTATTTTTATATTAAACAGTCATGCTTATTATATTAAAACAGATTTTCCACATTAAACTTCCTATTGTAACATCTGGGCCTATAAAGAATGATCGCTAATTACACTACTCATTAAAAATATTTATTATTTAAAAAACTTTGCAATATTTCGTACACTGAAAATAATGTTTAAGTTTACGAAAAACATTTTTCGTAAATTTTAGCGATATAAACATAATAATATTAATTACATTATCATTAAATAAAACTATAACAACACAAAATTTAAGAAAATGTATAATATTATTTTCATTATTTTCACAACAGAAGAAAAAAATCGTGTAGATGGTAATTTGTTAACTAAAATCAGACAAATTATTTTAAAATTATCAGAAATGTTTGCATAAATTAATATTTCGTAAATTTTACGATATTTATTCTAAATTTACATTTTACAATTTATGTAATTTAATTTTTCTAATATTATTTTGCATTATACTAAAATATTTCGTACAATTTCGTATATATTACGAAACAATTTTATGGTGCAAAACAGCGAAAGATTCATACAATTTACGACATTTTTGAGGATTGAGGAGTGTAATTTTGTAGATTTTGATTTTACTCTCTAGTTGTAACTATTTACTGGCAAAATAAACTTAAAAATGTATTGTTGTCTAACCCTAAAATTTTTTGTAGTTTAAAAAGCTGAAAAATTTTCAAGTTCTGCCATTTAAAAAATTGCTTTTTTAGATGGTAAAAATTTTATAACTGAATTTTCGACCAGTTCCCTTAGCGCGAAGAGATTCAAATTTTGCACATATTAAGACAATATTGTGTGCGAAAATTCAAAATTAAGTTCGAAAATTCGAAGTAGTATGTTATTATGATTAAAAATTTTTGTTGAATTTTGGCTTATTAGGGTCATAACTTAAGGCAGCTGACTTTTATTTGTTTATTAAAAAAGTGCTTGGGTTGTGTCAAAATAAATTAATTTATTTTTATTCTAAAAAAAATTATATTTGTGTTTTCAAACCAAAAAAATTTAAAATTTACATTTATGAATTAAAATGTTCATAAAAAGTTTTCAAATAAGAAAACTCTGATGAAGAAGCATTAAAACATTGTCCTGCTGCAGATACAAGCTAAATGTAACGACGGTTTTATAGGTAATATTGTGAAATACACAAAAAATATTTCTTTCCAATGTTTGTTATTTTTCAATTTTAGAAATTTCATTAACCCAACTCTAGGCAACAAAAAAATATTGTGTTTGTTGCCGAAACGCTCTCACCTTACTTATTACATCATGGTCATAACTTTTATACAATTTTTAAAAATTTTCTAATCGGCCGTATCTATTCTACATAGAGTATAAATAAGAACGTCGAAAAAGTTTATCACATTTTCCCGAGCTTTAAAAAAGTGTCCGCGATAAATGCTTTAAAGTTTTCGATATTACTTTTTTATATAAGCATGTGTCTGATTGTCCCTCGACATTCACAAGGATTAAAGCAAATAACTATAAAAATATTTTTTTTTTTTACATTAAAAATTTATTATGTACTGTATTAACTGTATGTATGATAGGTTTATATAAATTTTCGCGTTTGTGACCAATTACAATTTTGGAAGTATTTTTGAAATTTTTTATTTTTTAAGCAAAAATAAGCCCATTTTTAATTAAACGGGCAAGTTATGTAAAAATTAATTAATGGCAAATATTTCCCAACAAATTGGTCTAATTTAGATTTATTACGTTTTTCTCAACACTTTTAACCATTTTGTAAAAATTCGAACCAAAAAATTATATTTTTGAAAAAAAAAAAATTAAAGAGAAAATTATATTTAAAAATGAATATTTTAATTAAACGGGCAAGTTATAGCGAAATAAATTGATTGTAAATATTTCCCAATATTATGGCCCAATTTCTGGTTTTTATATTTTTCTCAACACTTTAAACCAATTTGTTTTAATCGTAACTGAAGTCTCTAAAAAAATTCAGATATTTTTTTAAAATGTAAATTTTTAACTAAACGGGAAAGTTATCTTAAAACTAATTGATGGTAAATATTTTTTCTATATTTTTCTCAACACTTGAACCATATTTGTTTTATTCTTAATTAAAGTCTATAAACAAATTCAGATCATATTTTTTTAATAATGTCGATATAAACGGGCAAGATATATTAAAATAAATTGGTCGCAAATATTTTCCAACCTATTGGTCTAATTTTAATTTTTTATATTTTTATCGACACTAACCATTTTTATTTTATTCTTAATTAAGGTATATAAAGAAATTCAGATCATATTATTTTTAAATAACGTAAGTTTTTAACTGAACGGACAAGATACATATATTAAAATAATTTGATGGCAAATATTTCCCAACATATTTGTCTAATTTTGATTTTTTATATTTTTCTGAACACTTTATCCATTTTTGATTTATTCTTAATTAACGTCTATAAAAAAATTCAAATCATATTAGTTTTAATTTAAAACTTTTAAATAATGTCAATTTTTAACTAAACGGGCAATATATATGAAAATAATTTGATGGCAAATACATATTTCCCAATATTATGGCCCAATTTCTGGTTTTTATATTTTTCTCAACACTTTAACCATTTTTGTTTTATTCTTAATTTAAGTCTGTATAAACTTGCCAGGAATGGTGCGATGAGAGGGGAAGATGAAATCGACGCATTTACTGATATCTGTCTTACTACCTGTGAGCTACTGGTTCAGACTGAACTATATGAAGTGGCTTAAATAGGTCTCGAATATAACGACTACTGTAGAAGTTGTAATAATGAGGAGGAAGAGGAAACAATACCTCACCTTCTCTGCTATTGCCCATCATCTTGTTTGGATGAGTTATCTGGAATATGCTTAAAGAATATCCTAAACTTTGTAAGTCAAACCGGTTGGTTTAAATCTGGAAGTAGAGACTAATAATCAAATGAACTCCTACGACCACTAGAGTAAAACAACGGGACCGCAACTAGGTGGACCCATGTGAGCCACTCTTGATTGATTGAGTGGCTGCCCTTCTTACCTAAACCTAAGTCTGTATAAAAATTGGAACCAAAGAAAATATGAAAAATCAAAATTAGACCAATGTGTTGGGAAATATTTTTAGTTTTCTTCAACATTTTTAAACATTTTGTTTAATTCCTTACTGAAGTCTATATCGTTACCTGATATGGCGTAACAACCAAAAAATATTATGTTCGAAATTTGTCATAAAATAATCTGCTAAAATTTTGTGTAGAAGATGGTATCAAGGCGAATTCAGATAAAATGGTGGCAGTTCTGCAAAAACAAAATTTTCCATGTAATTTGTTTTTGCATTTGTTACGCACTGATTTTGCAAATGAAAAATTTTACTCCGGCAGATAAATTTGCAAAACTTAAGTTTGTGTCTAAATACCTCATATGGGTTTTGTTATAAAAAGAGTTCTGGAACAGAACTTAGTTAGTTAATCACGTTATTTACACAGTGTAAATATTAAACAATTTATTAAAATTTAATAAATCTGAAAATTTCACCATAACGTCGAAGACAGCTGTCGCCGGTCGGGTAAATATTTGTTTACAAAATGTTTGGTATTTTCAGATATTTTACATAAATTATTCAAAATACTAACGAAGTTTTTCTCTGTTTTAAGGGAATTTTTAAATATAAAAATGTAAACAATAACAAACTCTGACATCAGTGCGTGAATAAAAAAATAGTCAACTGATTGAAATAACACTCCTTGGATGGGATCGTCTAATGGACTCTGATAATAATACAAAGTAATTTAGAATGCAAAATATTATTTGGAAAAAAATAAAACATAAATATTTTGAATTTTATTTGAAACGAACACTATTTTAGAGAACCGTCACACAGTGATTCGTTTTCGTATATTCATTGGACAAAAATAGAAGGACTTATTGTAGGGTTTCGAAATTTGTTGTAAATAGTTATGATGAAATAGTTAAGAAAAATTCGAAGTTTAGAAAAAATTGGTCCAAGGATCCATATACTTCCCATATATCCTAAAATGGAAAATAGCGATATTTTGCACAAAGTTTGCAATAAAATTCTTAAACTTTCTAGTAATAATATATAAA